AAAAAAAAAAAAAAAAAAGGTAAATGATTTATTCATATCCACCATAAGTTTGAGAACATAGTTCAAACCCTAAAGAAATATTATTCAAGGTTAAGGGAATGATCTCTGGTATCCTGAGACTATGTATAGTTTTATATATAAGAAATGAAATATTAGCATTATTAGTACATTTATACTTCAGTTGAATACTGAATACTCTAGAACCAGAATGGTTAGGGATAGTATCTGATATCAATCTAGAGCAACCAGGCTGAATGCTCTTTCATTTTTGATCCTTGCAGCCACGTCTGTTGTACATGCATCCTGATGAACCCATGTGATCCTTGTAGCCGCAAATCATTTTGAATAGTTGGTTTGCACGTTATAATGTTCTAGCTTTCTCGGATTAGCATTGATCTTTTCAGGGGTTACACAACAGCACCGCACATTACCTACAAAAATTAGCACAAGAATATCAGTAGAAAAGCTAACTGTTAACAGCCCTAAGTATGAGCTACATTGTAATTAGTCTCTGGTGTACACATATTATGAGTGATAGCTAATATCTAAATTTTTTTTTTTTCGTAAGGGAAAATATGTAAAATGAAGCATTTGGATGACAAGTTAACCCTTAGGACTGTAGTCTTGGTATTCTTGAAATGCTATGACATCCAAGTCATTGACAAGGTTTTAAACAATCTTTTGTTCTAAAGCAGCATCTATCAGATTAAGAACCACCCGTGGATTGGTCTCTATATAAATATACTAAAAAGGAAATCAAGGGCTCAAAGGCAATTATGTTCACAAAGAAATTCCTATTACTGGTCTTCCAAGTTGGAGAGACATTTATTGCCACAGAGATGAATGCAAGAAAGGTAAATAAATTAGCACAGATATGACATTTAGTTTAAATTGAAAAGATGCAAAGATTGAGCTGATATAGAAGAACATAGAAAGAAATCTCACCACACGGCTCCCACTTATTGAAATCCACCAGCCATGTGATGCTTGAACCATTATGTGTAGATAATACAGGATCCACCCAAACCCAAAACATTTTTCCCTGCTTGTCTCCATACCACCCTTTCAATTCATGTATGCGTTCATGTAGAGTTTTCTCAACACCAGATGGATGGACAGTTACAATAGATGGACCCTGAAGAAAGAAGAATTAAAATGGTGGTTCTTTCTAAACATAGATCATAAAGTACAACAAAAAAAAAAGAAAAGTGGAAACATTTCGTAGTAGATTCATTAGATAAAGAAAATCAACAAAAGTTGATGCAAAATGTCAATAGGTTCCAGTCAAAGTAGATCTAAAATGTAACTTAGTCCTAGTACTGGTTCCAGGTACAGCTACATAAAGTACATTTTGGTCAAGCATTTAAGCTAAAAGTTTTCTTCACTTATCAGTTTATTATTTTAGGATGAATTTGCTTTCCTAATTTTCACACAATAAAAGCTATATACTTCTATCTATACCTATACTCAAGTTAATCCTTCAGCCAACACTCCAAACTTACCAAGCACGACATCATTCTGGAGTGAAGCAAGAATTTATTAAACCTAACATTGTATGATCAAGATCAGAAACTATCATAGAACGTGCAGAAGCACTGAGCCAATCCATGACTACTCTACTGCAACCTTTAACCCTAGAACCAAATTAATAACTACCACAATTAGACGCTTCTATGTGAATTTAAGTTATGAATTCTACAAAATGGGACAAGTTATGAAATCACAACACAAAGAAGTGAAAACGCAAGGAACCATGGAAATCGAAAGCAGTTGCAAGATTCTATATATTCTTATGGTTAAAATTTAAGATATGAATTCTACAAAATGTCAAAAATCTTAGAAACAAGTTTCAAAACCAAATATGAATAGACAGAATGAATCGAATCATCAAAATTGAAAACAAAAACACAATACAGAATTCAGAAAACAGGAAAATCGATTCAAAGCTTCAGGAAATCACCTGTGATCAGATTGAGGTAAAGATTACAGTTCAGGGATTCCAGTGATTGATAGCTGCCAAACTATAGACATTATTGGTTGATTATCTGATGTATCTCCTAGTCATGGTGTTCCTTGATATCTGAAATCAAGAGGGGAGTCCTGGTTTTTGTCGGCATAGCCAGACACACTGTCCACAGTGTCTACTCCATGGATTTGGATTGTTCCAGTACCAGCTTGACAGAGCACCTGTCCCGGATGCAATCTTGGAAGGCAACAACCTTTTTATAAGAGGTACATGTAATGGCCTGATTGGCTTTAAGCCACAGGGAACTATCCTTCACTAGAAGCCGGGAATCTAATAGTATGTTTTTTCTACAGGGATTTGGGTATGACTCTGTCAATGAAGATTGCAAATTAGTGGATATCATGGGCTTTTACCATAGATATAAAGTCAAAGTTTATACTTATAGCTTCAGAAACAATACCTGGTCCAGGGAAGCCCTCAAATCACACACAAAACTAGTCCTCCAAGTCCTTACTTTAATACTGGGATCTGTAGCTATAGCACATCACAAGGTCTGCTTGTTGGAAGTGTGCTGAATTAGGTGGCATATTGGGATTCCAGATACAACACACCACCTTTCATCCTTGCTTTTGATCTCACCACTGAGGAATTTCATGAGATTGAGTTGCCAGAGTAAGACACAGCATCTGTATTAGGATAAAGGTCCATGAAATTGAGCTGTCTAATTGTATCCTGTCTAATTGTATCCGCTGTCAGTCTTTTGTTAGTAAGTCTTGCTTCATAGTTCCATGGTTTTTTGTCACCAAGTACACTCATTACTTTCTTTCTAGTCAAGTTTGTGTTCTGGGCACTAAAGATCCAGTCAATGATGCACAAATCAAGGAAAAGGGTAAGGAAATCTCTATACCCCTAATTGTGTTCGCTGCCAGTATAGATTGCCTCTAAGTCTTTTTGTTGGGCGATGGTAGAAATGAATTAAAGTTTGTTTCCTTAAAATTATAGATATAATATGAATAGAGGTTATTCCAGATGTCTTTGTGAATTTGAACTTATTGAGGAAAATTCTGGGGTCTTTGGTCCTTTAATTACGGTTTTCAATGGAAAAAATTATCTTTCTTTCTGTGATGACAAAAATTCTGATGGATCCATGAAAAACTTGGTTCCAAAACTGACAGCAAACCATTTTTAGTTGCCATCACTTACTACAAGATCTGGTTCTTTTACCTACTTGAAAACAACCAAACAACCCTTTATTTGGCCAAGGTAGATGTTTCAGAGGATCCTCCAGTCATTCAGAGGAGAAGCACGATTTGTTCTCTTGCAGTTTAATCAATTGTCTACTGTTGTTAGTGTCTTCACCCTCTCTTTTAATTTTTTGTAGCTTTTAGAAGATAAATTTGTTGATTGTGGACTCTGATTTATCTTTGCTGGTCGGTAGTTATCCTGACCTTGAGGAAGCACTTAAAGCAAAGAAAGTAGAAGTGGGCTAGAATTAATGAAATTTGTGTGTGTCATGCAAAAATAGCCTTGAAACATAAAAAAATATTAGAAATCAATAATATTTGAGTTTTGAGAATCAGCACAAACAGCCTCAAAACATGAAGTGCATTTGCTTTTAGAGTTCCATCCAAAGTGTATGAAGTACCAGTGGGCGGAATATGTGTTCAAACCAATTTGGAATCATGATGCCAACAAGCTTCAAGATCCTTCCAAGAAAAAGCAGGACACCCACTCTGTTTTTTATCAGAAAGCTCTAAGACTCAACCTGGACCATTTATCACCCAATAAAGGTCCAGGGAAGGGTACAATTTCCACTGATAAAACAATTTACTAGATGTCTACCATACCTCTATATATATATGTGTGTTTTTTTTTTTTTTGTTCAATAGCTGTGCAAGACACTAACTTTTCTTCACCTAGATTCCAGTTTAAGTTAATTCACTTCCACATATAGAAATTTCATTAATTCTAGTCCACTCTGTGCATCAATATTGTTGATTTCTAATTCTTTTTATGCATCAAGATTCAAGACCTACTTCTTTCCTTTAAGTGCTTCCTCAGGTTCAGGATAACTGCCAACCAACAAAGATAAATCAGAGTCCACAATCAACAAATATATCTTCTAAAAGCTACAAAAAACTAAAAGAAACGGGGAAGACACTAACAACAGCAGACAACTGATTAAGGGCAACAGATCAAATCATGCTTCTCCTCTGAACGAGTAGAGTATCCTCGGAAACATCTACCTTTGGGTTGTTTGGTTGTTTTCAAGTAGGTAAAAGAACCAGATATTGTAGTAAGTGATGGCAACTAAAAACAGTTTGCTGTCAGTTTTGGAACCAAGTTTTTCATGGACAGAAAAACGGACCCATCAGAATTTTTGTCATCACAGAAAAGAAAGAAAGATAAATTTTTCCATTGAAAACAGTAATTAAAGGACACCCGAATCATGCTCTGAAACAAGACAGACTTAGAGGCATTCTATAATGGCAGCGAACACAATTAGCGCATATAGATTTCCTTACCCTTTTCGTGCGTCATTGAAGAAGAGAACACACCATGGCCAGAGGGATGCAAGACGAAGATACCATCATCAACGGCAGCCACAGTTGGCCTAGCGCAGATAAATGGTATGGTTAATTCACTTAAAGCCCAATCCCTTTTTTCTGAATTCTGAATCTTTAGTGTCCAGAACGCGAAATTGACTAGAAAGAAAGCTCTAAATGTCCATGGTGTGGCCTCTTTCGCCAATGACGCACAAATAGCGACGGACCAGAGCGTAACTTGACTCAAACAAACGGAAATCCTCTAAGTTTCGAATGCCTTAAAATGTCTCGTTGAGCTTGGTGCCGCTGGCAGTGAGTTCGAGCACGAACCATGCGTCAGTCATCTTCGTGAGATCATCAACAAATCTAGCTCTATGTAGAAGAATCGACTTTAAGCTAAAAAACCTGGGGTTAGGGTTTAAGGGATATTTTGGGAACCATCCAGCCTTTGAGCCAGCCACCGACCCTTTTTTTTTCTCTTTGTGTTAAACAACTTCTTAGGCCCAATATTTTTGTAAATAGACATTTTAGCCCCAGCCTTCATTTTGGTACTACTAACTGTGAAAGGCCCCCTTTTTTTTTTAATAAGTGTTTTTCAATACAAGACTGAAAAAAAAAAAAATTTTGTGCATTTTAAGTTCTGAAATTATCAAAACACCATTAATGAAAAAGCATGAAGGGCACTTTCATTAAGGGTATGTATTTTAAGTATTATATTTTTATTTATTTGTAGAGTGGATTTTATAAGAGATGGTCACAATGTTGCCAATATCTATGTATGGCTATACACATCAATTTTACTACTAGCGTAGTAAATGCAGTACATCTAATCATTTTGTGTATCATTTTATATTTATATTAATTTATTATTACAATAATATATCTCACATTAGTATTTGTTGCGTAGCTTAGATTACACAACTAAAATTGTTAGATAAGGTGAGTTTCTTGATGTTGGGAGGCTTCTTCCAATCTATTAATTTATGTTTTGTAATTTAATATAGTCGAAACTATAAAACATGATTCTCTATTAGTATTTGTTTCCTTGTTGAATTGGCCTTAAACTTTCATATTTTCGCTTGAAATCCCTTTAGCAACCAAAAAGCTTTCTGAAAGGGAAAATTAGAAGAAGAGTTTTTAATGTCCTATTTAATTGAAACACTTTTTTCTGGAAGTAAGGTTGACAAAATGTTGAATAATGTTACTTTTAGTATTGACTCTAAAATTGAAAAGAGAATTGAAGAAATAAATCTTCTTTTGGGAATCTACAATGGAGACAGAATTAATTTCTGTAAGTTGTAGCACAAAACCCTTTTGGCTTCTTGAAAGCCTTAAAAAGTTTTTGAAACAAATTCTTTTACCTTAAAATGCTAAATATCAGTTGGCATGAGATTTGAGGTGGGGCCATCGTGTGCTCCGATAAATCTGTGATATGCCAGTGCATTAGAAGTCACTTTACAAGTTAGTTATGTACTGAGAACAAAGCACATCCATAAACATGGATAGAATACTCATATATCCTATAGAAGACTCATATATCCTATAGAAGACTAAACACACCTTTCACCCAAAAAAAGCTTAAAAAATATAGGAAATTTTTAATCTTCAAGCATATGATGCAGCATATGCGTGGGTTTAACATTCAAAAACATTTGAAATATTCATAATTCCTTAAGAAATTTGAATTTCATTGCCACAAAATCTAGTTCCAGACTTTCACTGCAGCAGGCAGTGTGGAAGATAAATGGAACATTGCAGCAAGGTTATCTGTAATTGCACCAAACCAGAAGTCCTTCTTCAGTCCGCATCTTCACTTTGGATGTACCTGCAAAGCCCCGAGGTGGGTCTTCGGGGTAGACACTCCGATACTTAAGTCAGCAATAATCGGGGCTACCTTTAGAGTGGAGATAAAAAGAGCTTAAGGTTGGTTTCAATTACCTTTCTGAAGTGGCCCCTGGGGGTATTTATAGGCCTTTGTGAGGTATTCACGTGGCTTACTTAGCAGGATAATCGAAGTGTGACGTGTTCCTTAAGGAGATAAATTCGGGACCAGAAAATTAAGAGAAATTTTGGTGTGGGCATGCTCACCGTAACTGTCATGCAGCTGTTTGACTAGGAAGTGCTTCACTTCGGTTATTAAGGAATTATAGCAGTACGTCCAAGGTCCTTAACCTCGGACCTATCCTTACATTATCCTTCACATGTACTGTTTATGTCCAGTTCAGTTTCATCGGGTCGCTGAGAAGTTTCTTTGTTTGGTTTTCAATGTAATTCTTATGTTCGTTGATGTAAAGTGTTGCACCTAGATGTATAGTTTGGCTTTAATTGTATCCATGTACCATGTTCCTTGCTTTAAGGGGTTTATATCATTATTCAAATGTATTAGGTGAACACTATATGTGGCTGGTGTTGTTTTGGACAAAAACAAACCATAATTGATGAAGAAAAGACGCATGGAAAATCAATGGGAAAATTTGAGCATCCTCTCTAGCTCAATATATGTTAATCTTTTGCATGTCTCTCAAGATTATCTCTTGAGTTGTATGTTGATTTAAAATCAGTTTTTCCTAGCTGATCTTACAAGTAACAGGGAAGACAGCTATTTAGTAAGGCCATGTATTCTGGATGTCAATTTTTCTCCTGTAAGATAGGGAGAGTAAATATGCCTTAGGCAGCTCCAACAATGTACTCAACTCTCCACGCCACATACCAGAAAGTGGAGAGGGAGAGGAGGGCAAGCATTCCTCTACCGACAAACCACTGCAGAAAAGAAGCACAATGGTTCCTCTGACCCCAACTAAAGCAAAGTTCTGACACATCCTCATCAAATGCAATTGGAATTAAGGGAAAATTTTGACCAAGTTTTTGAGAGGATTTACACACCATACATTTCAGGTTAAATTAGAAACAACCATTTTCCCAGTATAAGGGGAAAGGGAGAATATGCATGTTTAATTCTCAAAATTCATATTCCTAACAAGTTAAAACAACAACCAACGACCAAGGAGATTGGTTCCCATTAAGTAAGATTTCGAGTTCGAGTCTTGTGAATGAAAAAATAGGAGTTGAGACCCTAGAAGTTCGATCCAACTTGATGCTAAATTAGTGAGGATCCAATGTGGCTTCTGGATACCGGGGGATTAGTACCAAAAACAAGTTAAAACAACAGCGAAGAATACAAACCTGTATGAAAAAGTTGAGTCTTACACAGTCCATTCATATTGATGTCCCATTCAACTTTGCCATTGTTTCATCCTTCACTGTGGAAAAGCTCAACTGATCCCTGGAATTACAGTTATTTGTTATGGGAATATGATAACACAGCCTTTCAGGAACATCTGCAGAAAGTCACGAGTTAAACTGGTAACATATTTGACACAAACATTCGAGACACTGCAAAAGCACAAGGCATATATGCATATACAAGTATTAAGTCATATACCTACCAGTGGTTATGAAAAGCTTAGCTCAGAGAGGCATTATCATACTTCCCGACATCATTTTAGCTTCATCCTCTTGAAGGGCATCAAAGCATCTACAGTGACTTGAGATTGCAAAAGGAGCACAGTGGTTATGCAAAAACTAGGAGAAAAAAGACACTTCAAGCAGATTGGTAGACAAATTAAGAATCAGATCCTCAAACCAACTATCCAAAGTAGTAATTGCATGAAGTTTAGTCAGGACAAACTAAAGCTGGCATATAAGATTAGTATTATATAAATAAAAACTAAAAACTTGTCCCAAGCACAGTTTCATCGCTTGGTTGGCAATACTTGATAGAAAGACTACAAGAGCTAGACAAAAGAAATGGACACCTACCATTACCGATACATGTCTATTTTGCAATTCTGAATCAAAAACAAGGGCAATGCACACCTCTTTTTTAAGTGCAACTTGACAAAGCAAGTTTGGCACAAGTTATGTGAAATGGCAGGAGTACCTTTCGCTGATACATGGCAGAGCTTGTTAGCATGGACGAGGAAGAAAGTTAGAAGGAAGTCATTTGCACAATATCCTTGTAAAGTTGGCATGGACTGCAGCAGTTTACCACAATTGGAGAGAACGGAACAGGCAGATTCATCAACAACAGTTTATGTCAGTAATGATGCTTGTTTGGGATATATTCAATTTGATGTCAGGAATAAGATGTTAGGTTTTTTTAACCCTAAGTCTTCCCCTTTTACAATAGATATTGTAATAAGATGGGGGATGAGCTAAGTACAGTAGTCTTTCATTGATAGTTCAACTTGATTGACTGTAGTAGCAATATGCTGCTTTCTGCATACAATCAGTTACTAGATAAATAAGATTTTACATTTTATCCGAAAAAAAAGAACTAAAAACAGTTCAATATTTAATTGTTTGGTATATTTTTCTTGTAGAAAGAGTTAATTAGTGCCATAAGTGAAATGCATCAAAAAGTTTCAGGTTTGACCAACCTAAGATTTACTTTGCAAAAGAAACATAAAGCAGGTACGTTTATAGCTATTCTTTAGGGTACTTGACAGTATTTACCAACTCTCTGGTATCTTTAGTTAATCACTACTACATTTATACTCTAATTCATTGTGAAGGTTATTTTTAGTACACAAGTAGAAATGGAAGCCCCTATCACAATAGACTCCACTCCTACAACAACCTGGTCTACCATGAACGCCATGCTAAAGTGTTGGTTTCCATCTTTCTTTTTCATATCTTTATCTGTTGAACCATAAGTCAGCTTAATTAATTAAACCCCATATTAGTCAGGTTTTAGATATGATTTCAATTGCCAGCAACTTAAAAGTGGGTAATTCCAATTTCCATATTTCCTCAATGAGGCGGGAGGGAGGAAGGGAGATGATGTATTCCATCCCTTAATCCAGGCTTTTATTTATGGGTTTATCTATTTTGTGTCCCAAGAAGTAATAATTGTGTAATTATTATAGTTTTTTACCTTAAAAATAGTAAAGTTGACTTTTGTTTTAATTAAAAGTGCTACATGTTAATTTTTTATTCGTTTATTTTGAATTAAAATCAAAATTTAATTTTTTAATTTAAAATCTCACATCTTTTTTAAAAAAAAGATAATTATTAACTAATAATTGTTTCTTATACTGTGCTCTAAAAATACAAGATAGATAAATC